GTATAGCGTGATAGAAACCGACACTTGGCAACAATGTTTTGCGCATGCGCAACAGAATTATTCTAATTTGAAAAGGTGTACTGGACTTGAATAAGCAGTTGATACGATCCAAGTATCGTCCAAGTGAGGCGTGTGCAACGTCCAACGGTACTAAATGATACAAGTACACTTGGACCGTGACAAGCTGACTTTATTATCAAAGCCCAGTTGGATAGGTCCTACTTGGCTGGCTGGCAACTTTCTTGATCCAAATTCCAGTGTTGCCAACCAGAAAATAGAAAATATCGCTACGTCACTTCAAAAATTCCGCTACTCCCCGCTACGGCGAAGCTTATTCTAATTCCGCTACACGCCGCTACTTTTTTTGCTCAAGGCCGCGTGAATGGACATCATTTTTGTGCTCTGATATGATCTACGATTAAGCATTTTTATTTTTTTCGATATTTTGCCTGGTTATTATTAATTTATAGAAAATATGCTTTCAGGTCTTCGACCTTGATAAACATGCGATCACCAAAACAATGTGCCTACATAATTTTGAATTAAAAAAACAGGAATAATCAAAAAACTAAAAATTTATTCTGGTAATACAAAACAAAAATAAGCTCTCTCTCTAACTTAAAGATTCAAAATAAATAAAAAATAATATATGTATTATAATTATTCATATAGGTAACAAAAAAAAAAATCATTTTAATCTGGATCAGATATATAATTTATCTGGGTTGAATTAAAAAAACGGGAATAATCAAAAAACTAAAAATGTATTCTGGTAATACAAAACAAAAATAAGCATAATCTCTAACTTAAAGATTCAAAATAAATAAAAAATAATATATATATTATAATAAATCATATAGGTAACAAAAAAAAAATCATTTTAATCTGAATCAGATATATAATTTATCTGGGTGTAATTATTATTACACCCAGATGTGCCAGCTGTGCCACTGTTTAGTACATCTGTACCCTTTTCATGGTTATCACTCGACATGTTTGTCCCATCAGTTTTAAATGTGTACATATACTTATTAAACTTTTGTATATGTGCTTCGTTAATCAAATAGGTTGTACAGCATTTGCCTTTAGTCGCTAGATCAATTTTTATTCTTAGTACATCACTTAAGGTATCTGATGCTAGACGGTTTCTTTTTTTTGATTTAACATCCGTCATTACTGAAAATACCCTTTCCACATCCGCGTTACCATGTGTTAAACTAAGTATAATTAAAGCAATTGTACTAATGTTTTTAAATGGATATTCGTTATTATAGTTTTTAATTTCCACTAATGTTGTCCAAAACTGAATCATATCATCACACAATAAAGCTTTTTTTTCATCTTCAGAAAAATATACCTTAAGACTATTGTATTCAGATATCACTTTTACTGGATCTATTTTATTATCAAATTTTTTACAAATTTCTTGAAGGTCATAATTTAGACTAACATTTAGAGCATTTTGTGGTTGTACAAATGAAATGTTTTTATAAAAGTTATCCTTAGTAGGCAACCTTTTAAATGCTTGAGCAACTGTATTTTGATAGAATTTTAAACACTTTAGTTTAAACTGTTCATTATCGGTTGGGTTACAATCTTTAAGTAGATTCATAGTATCGGTACCAACTTTAATTTCCTCTACAGGAAGTAACACATGCGGATCAAAGACATTTAATCGATCAAATTCAGCTTCACTTGAATAATGAGGGGGTTTGACGAAGTTAACACATACAATTTTTACAAATCTCCTACTTTCTACATAAATTTTATCAACTAAAACTTTTGAAGATTGGAACATGGCATTGAAGGAATTGAAACTCGGAAGTATATGTTTCAAAAATAGAAGGTAAGCCTTGACATAAGGATTTTGCATTTCAGTGAATATCATATTTCCTACTGGATTTTTGTCTTCAAACGCAGATAGTCGAAAAACCTCTAAGAGCACGTCCCACTGATCAATAAGCCTTTCAACACAGTTTGATAGTGCTAACCATCTGGTTTTACTAGGACTGAGAATTTTAACTTGAGCTGCCCGCATGTATTGTTGGAATTCTTCTAAAACCGACTGTCTCTTTGGACTTCTAGAAAAATAATTTGAAATATTTTGTAATAATGTCTCTATATTACTTGGCAGCTCTTGACTAGCAGCAGCAGCAATTAAATGGGCCGAGTGGCATATACACCCATTTACGACAATTTGAGGATTTTCAGCTAAGAGGTAGGTTTTAAATGATTCTTTATTGCCCATCATTACACTGGCGTTATCAGAGCAATAACCCACAATATTGCTCACCTTCAAATTAAAACTATCCAGACATTTTTTAAAAAGAGAATAGAGCCCTTTGGCTGTTCCTTCATCGGATTTTATGGGAATTAAGTCTAATAATTCGCATTTAACTTTTTTTTCGTATATATACCTAACTAAAATACACATTAACCTAGTATTGCTTATGTCCGTACTTTCATCTACAAGTATAGAAAAAATATTGTCTTTTAGCTCACGACCCAAAGCCTCTTTAATTGTAGGTGCAAGTACGTTTTTAACTATGTTTGTGCATTTTGTTCGTTTTAATTGCATTTTGTTTGCTATTTTCGAGTCACTAAAACTTAATTTACAAGTTTCGGTTAAATGATCAATAGAACTAAAACTAAAATTATGAGAAGCAACTAACAAGCTTAATCTAATGTCAGCTATAATTTGGTTCTTATCTTGTTTAGCAGGCTGGAATATTTCAGAAATTGGTCTAGTCCCTTGCAGTGTTTTTATATTTTTAAGGTGTCTCTGGCTTTTCCCGTGGTTTAACAAATCACTTCTTTTGGCGCCCAAAATCAGCTGACAGGCTTTACATTTAGCTTTACCTGGGTCTTTAGTGGTTTGCAGCCAACTCTTAAAAATATCTTCTTCAACCCACTTTTTGGAAAATAGTTGTTTTCGACTTTTCTTTTCATCTCTGGCAAGTTCACCCCTTACTGTCCTTTTCCTTTTGGGCGTAGAGGGTCCAGTATTTTCCGAATCAGATACCTCAGAATTAGACATTATGCGCTCCTACATATTTCCTACAATTAGTGTCATGTCATTAAATAATTTCTCATTGAGCAGATCGATGCAGCATAAATGTATACCCAATACAATAATAATATTGATATTTCGTACCTTTTTATGTTCAATAATTGCTTCCACAAAAGCAAAACAATTTCAAAGCAGTAACGAGAGCAACACGAGACGGATAGATTCAATAAATCAGATTCAGAGCTGTTGTTGTTAAAAATGAACGTCACACTTACTCAAATAAATAAACGGGGAAGTCCCGAAAAACTGCATCAGGAATATGAGGTTACGAAATTTTTGACAGCTGGGCTGCTGCGTTCGAAAACCTGGTTGCTGGTGTGTTGACAAGGGCAAGGAAGGCACGCACCCCTCGGCGTTTCGGTGTCGTACCTCGCACCACATACACTAGACCGAGATATCGAACGCGATCGGAATCGTCAAATGACTTTTTGTGCTCGATTCACGATTCCTTTGTTGTTTTCTTTTTATTTGCTAAAATGAGTATGAATCAGTATAAAAAAATAAAATCCGCTACGTTTTAAGCTCATTTGGCTCCACCGCCGCTACGCCGCTCTTGAGGGTAAATTCCGCTACGTGTGGCGGAATTCCGCTACGGTTGGCAACACTGCCAAATTCTCATCCAAGGTAAGTGCACTTTGGACCGTGTCAACCTGACTTTAATCGATTCTTCGATTTGAATGGGTTTTATTGGAAACCCAAGAATCTCTTTTCATTCTTTTAGGATTGAATTATTTGTTTCCACAAAAACCGAATACTTACGGAGATTGATAGTTCTGAAGTCAACTCAAAAAACTAATGAGAAAAATAAACTTTTATTTGGAAAACAAAAAAAAACTAATATTCGAAAGCTAAGAACATCAAAGTACTTAGTAGATATACAGCAGGGTGTCCCACCGGGAACCAAATTGATCAAAAACTCTATGCAGGAAATTTTTGAAAATTTGACAGTATACTTACTAAGGTGTTTTCTCGCGTCTCAAAGTATTGAAATATTTTTCAAAACTGGTTTAAAATAGTTTCACAATGACGTCATATCTTCCCGGCGCGAGAAAATGTTTCAAAAACGTGGATTGGATTGTTATTCGAAACGGTTTGAACCAATCTTGTGTGAAGTCATGCGTTCATCGCGAGAATATACTATTTCAAACCTGATTTGAACCAGTTTCGGAAGTAAATGATTCTTGATCATGGAATAAATTCAAAGTTGGTGTCAAATGATAGGTTATGAAAATCCCAAGACAAAAATTTTTCTCTAAAATTAACCGTTTAGTTTTCACAGCCTATCAAAGTTGCAAAAAGGTCAATTTCCAACTGTCAATATTTCCAAAACAGTTGAACTTAGGTATAGATGAGTATATCACATGAATACTAATCAGAATTTTACGTAGAATCCAGATATGCAATTAATTACACAAGGTGTCTCATCTAACTCATCTAAAATAAGCAAGTTGACTTCCAAGGGTCGACGTCTACTTTCGGTATGGTATAACCGGAAGTGCCACCATCTTGAAAATATTTTAGCCGGGTTGCCTCTATTGACACTGATGTACTGTCAAAATTTCAAAACCTTTCTGCATATAGTTTTTCATGAATAAATCGATTTGGTTCCCGGTGAGACACCCTGTATAAGCGAAAGCCGTTTGATCAATCTACTGAAGTTCGCTTAACCAAAAACTGATTAATCGAAAATAGATTACCGATCGGTTTGTCTTAACCGCGGTTAATCCATCCTTGGGTTAATCTAATCCTGCATAAATGGTCAATCGAATTTGAAATTGACTATTCGGTTAATCAGATTTTAACTAGTCAGTGATTTTTTTCCGGTTTTTACCAGGACTAACCAAATCCCATTCAATTTCCGACCAGTGTAAAAAGACCGCATTCCTCATAGGGTCATTCCTGTCAAACTGGGCACCGGCAACGCCGCGCAGGACGACCGAACACACACAAAGATGGCGTCGTAAAATGTTTTTCGCCCGTCGGACTCTCTTATCACGAATCTGATCAAATAAATAAACAAATAGACTGAGCGGCGGTTAAATTAGTGTTTAAATGATTAGAAAGACACTTGAACTTGACGATAACGGTGAAAAAACGGACTTGCCGGGCCGCAAAGTGAGCGAAAATCGACCGTGAAAAATGTGATTTTCTTTGTTCGGAACGGCTGTGCAAAGTGTCCATGTTTTAGATCTTCCGTTGTTTTTTGTTTTTTCGGACATTTCAACGCACCCTACGATCTCTGGTTTTGATTTTATGCAATTTAATGGGTAAGTTATTCATTGACTGTTCCTTTAAAATACTATTTGATATAGTTTTCATTGAAAACAACCCTTCTTGGGCGTATCAGACGGGCAGCGGCAGAGGGCATTTCATTTCAGTCACTGCCAAGATTGCATTGGGCCGCTATTTTGATATATTACAGTTTCTTTCAATTTTTATTAAAAATATCGATTGGTAGCTTATTGTGTTCCTGTTCCCAGCTATAAACGGATTTTTAAGAGATTTATAGCTGCTAGTTTAGCTTACTTTCGTCCGAATCCCGGTCTTTAGTTGAAAAATTAGGTTTGCCAGCAAATTTATTGGGGTAGAAGAATTTTACCCTAAAATGTCCTGGCTTTTTGGCAAAGAATTCAACTGGGATTTGTTGTATGCCTGATTTATATGATCTTTCTGTTAGTGGTGTCACATAGTTCACTAAATTATTCTGTCATTATATTAATTTGAAAACTGGTATGAATTTACTTGTACAATAATTATTATTATTGATAATCTACACAGTGACGAACATTTGTTTCTCTTTTTCAGGAATAAACAAACAAAAATCCTTTGGGAATATTGTCTTGTTTACATTTTGAATATTTTATGAGTCAACAGACCAAAATGCTTTTTTATATGGTCTCCATTTATATCTCGATTTACAGGTAGGTATTTGTTGAATAATTGAATATTTAGGAAATCAATTAGGTATTAAATATGTATATTATGAACCCGGTGATTGTCTAAGATTTTGCACCCACATCTATCTCACCTGTTTGAATAGATACCCAGAATGTCAATGCGAAAGTTGTAGGTAATATCAGAAACTTTGCAATGAAGTTAGTTACAAGTATACAGGATGTATCATAAAAGTGGGGCGAAGCAAATTTATATTTTTTCAAATGGAACACCCATTATATAATTGATCTATTATTGGATTAGCCTCAGGATTAGCCTTTCAAACCTGACTCCAAATATATCAAAATTTTAAGGTTTATTCCTCATAGTCCAGCCTCTGAATATCTCAGTTTGAAAAAATAATAGGTATGGATTTGATGGTGGTCTGTGGAGTATAATTCACCTTTTTCAATAAAAATACCATTATTCCATCACTTTTTTTCTTATTTTCTCCCAAACTATTAAGAATAAGCGAGGGGTGTGACACTCCTGAAATCAGGTGTACACTTTTACAAAGTCACATAAATCAATAGAAATCATTGAAATCTGTGGTATAAAGCAAAATCACATTAAATCCCTTGAAATCAATAAAATCTTGAAAAATCCCCTAAAATTATTTAAAATTGATGCAAATCAATCCTATCAATATCCAAAAAATCAATCGAAATCAAGAAAATCTCTGTAAATCACTTAAAATCATCACAAATCACATAAAATTTGTTGAAATCCTGAAATCGTTGTTTTCTAAAGCAGTACCTCTCCAATAAAATATTCAAAATTTGCGCCTCTGATGTTTAGTGTTTTCGAGGTTGTTTATTCTTGCACAATTATTATACATAGTCTTTACACAATCTTACACAATCAGTTACAATCGCTCACAATCGTGACACAATCATTCACAATCATACACAATCATTCATAATCTTAGCAAATTTCTTTAAGGTGGCAACAGCACCCCGCTGTTTCTTTGGTTGCCTATCTTTTCAAAAAGGTCTTGTTATGGATTATTTCCCAAAAATAAAAATAACCACGCTAAAAATTGAAAAATATGTATAGGTAACTTTGAAGGTATAGTCTATTGATAGTCAAATGAGACAGTAAAAAAAATAATATTCCTTTGACTGTCCGCGTTTTATTTATAAAACACGGGCTTAGTAAGAGAAATTTATTAAAACAGTTTTATATAAAATAAAACATGAGGCACGATACAACTCAAATAGGAATCAAATTTATAAAAACTATCTACTGCACTGTCTTTCCGGACGAAACTGATTCGCAAGCGGCGGCGGCTTCAACGAAATATGCCGCCAAAGACGCCGCCACTTCAAAGAAATATGCCGCCAAATACGCCACTAAAAAATCTAACCAATAAGATATTCCTGGAGTCAACGTTGACTGTATAAAACAACCAATAAGATGCATTGTTCGCTCGTGGATGTGCATCCAATGTATACGGGCACGCTCAATATATTTTTCCTAATAATAGTAAAATAATTTTAACGGGCAATACGATCATTTGAGAAGACCCCAATTTTTGCCTTGTCTCATTTGAGAAACGATAGACTATATAACTCCTTTGCTATGGGAGTTAGATGGATGCGGTTTTCGCGAACGCTGGCTACTTTTTTGTCAAACGAAAGATGGCGCTAACAGAATTGTCATCGCCTTTTTTGTTTTTCAGATACAAGCAAGAGCGTAGATACTTTACATTTCTGTGGGGGGGGGGTTAAGTTAGGGGGGGGGTCCAGAGGGTAGAACAATAAGGAGGCGAAATGAGGAGAAAAAAGTGTATCCACTTTTGCCATATTGTTACTACCTCGGTTACTACCCTTCTGTTTGAGAGTCTGTCACTTTTGTCATAGCAACGCTTCAGAACTGCATCAGGGCTGCATTTTCCATCCGAATATCTTTTAAACAGTCCAAGCATACGTTTTTTAAAATGATACACCCTATATTATAAACTCATTGGATAGCTCTGCTTTTGCTGATTTCAGTGATATAAAGTTCGATTGGTTTATCCGAGGGTTTATCTCTAACCGAGTCCCTAAAAGTTTTCCAGCAAAAAAATTTGATCTATTTTTGTCATAAGAAATAATATGTTAGAAAGAGACCTTCCTCATTTTCCTTACAGATGCAGTGTCCTTTTTTGAAAAATTGTTTCTTATGAAAAATAGGCATAGGTATAGTATTTTTGATACCCATTTAGAATTCTATCTCTATTTATCAATCACGAATCAGATGAAACAAAAAATTACCAATAAAAACGAACGTCAATTGCTAATACGTCAATTTCATGTACAGATAGGAAATTCCTAACCTAATTTTATTTGTGTGTAGAAGAAGCGACATACGTTTAGTCACCAGAACCACTGGTACTTCTAAATAAGTATTAAAAATTCTATGATAGAGACAATCCTATGGATTTTTATGACATTAAAATCAACAAAAGCAGAGCTTTCCAATCCCAGGAACAGCCATAGAATAGGAACAGCGTTCTCATGAGATAGATTGCTCTGTCATTGTCAGTGTTATGGAAATATGAATACAGACGATGAAGACAGAACCTTCGTTCTCTTGAGAACGCTGCTTCGCTGTTTCAAGAAGAAAGTCCCTGCTGAGTGGCTGAACTTAGCCGCTGGCACCGTCTGAATGTACCCAATGAGTTATTAATATACAGGGTGTATCATTCGAAAAAACGTATGGTTGGTCCGTAATTTAAAAACTATCACTTCTAAAGAAAAACTGACTTTGCCACTGGAATCTACATAGAAAGATCTATAAGAACCTGTTGTCACATTCTCGATAACTTATGAGAGAACTGAGATACAAGGGATGTCCAAAAAGGAAAATTTTCAAGTTTGCATCTGAAAAACAAAAAGGTCAATGGCAATTTTGTTGACGGCATCTTTTATTTGACAGAAAAGTAACCAACGTTCGCGAAAACCGCATTCTTCTAACTTCAACAACAACTGAGATATACCTTATGGACAACCAAAATGGGACATGGGACACCCTGTACATGGGGTCCTGTTGCCTCCTTGATGATTGTGGAATTTGGCAATGAGTGTAAGTACACTTTTTGGGGTCAGCTATCCCCTCGCCTATACCCAAGATCCTTGCCAAGATCGAAATTACTCATACCACAGCATGGTATAATTTCTGTAAAGCGGTAGTATTAGCACAGTAAAAATTTTCGACTTCACTATGATGCCCCTAACTTGATATAGCGTTGCTAATGGCATCAGTAATTGACAATAATTTAGATCTCGACCTCTAGTTCATGGGTACCTACTGAAATCATGAAATCCGTGTGAATCTAGTAAAATCACATTTACTCTTGTGAAATCAATATAAATCAGGGAAATCAATGAAATTTACAAAATCAAGTGAAATCAGCAAAATCAAGTAAAATCAAATATTAGCTGAGGAAATCGTTGAAGTCAAGTGAAATCATGAAACTTTACCAAATCTAATTTCTGATTTTATTGATTTCCATTAAAGTAATGAAAATCAGAAATCAGGTGTACAAAATACTAGGAAGTGTCACACCCCTCGGGAATAAGTAAACCTAAAAAAACCTAGTACTTACCTATATTGGATATCAGGTTGGGTCAATAATAGGTATGTACGGGGTACTCCGTTTCAAAAAGTTTAAATTTCCTTTGACACACTCTGTATTACTTGTAACTTGTAACCAACCTTATTGAAAACTTTCTGATATTTCTGGTATTCTTTCGATCTGAACAAACTGATTGTGATTACATGAGGCGTCAAAAAAACAGCTGGGGCCAATTAAATCGTTCTAACACCGGATGAAAATTTTTTGAAACAACAACAACAACAACCTTAAGTGACTTCGATCAGTTTGTTCAGATTGAAAGAATACCCCTATTACCTACAACTTTCCCATTTGAAATTTCTGGGTATCTCTTCAAACAAGACAGGTGAGATAGGTATGTAAGTGCAAAATATAGATAATCACCTGGTACTAATAATAATAATTGTTTGGCTCTTGTAAACCTACCACTAAATGCGTAAGGCATAGATGCACGTCATGGTTTTAGGTACCTTATGATATGTTGGGGGTAGTTTTATGATAAAATAGATGAATATGTATTTCAATTGTAATCTGCTATTGTTGAATAAATCGAATTATTAATAATAATATTTTTTAAAAGATTTTTATTTATACTGCAAAAATAACAGGAAATGTCCATATTTTCACAAAAACCCTTTTTTAAATGAATCGCAATTATTAGTTTTACTCCTTAATAAGCCACCCTCAGAGTTATTTCCAAGTCTTTTTAGGTACCCCAAACGGTGTATCTTGATA